TTAAAATAAATAAATATATGTAATTATTGGGTTCATACTCTCTCAATTGATTTAAAAGATTTTTTTCTTGAATATCATTAACAATATTTTAAATAAAGAATGGACATTAGAAAAAGTCGTTCTGTATATTTATTTAATTTTTGAAAGTGGAATAAAGTGTGCGAGAGTTCCGTTGAAGGGATTGAATTGCCCAAAGACATCATGGTTAGACAATGATAAGTATTATGTACAACTCAACTGAAAAATTGCTTCGTTAAACAAAAGAAACTTGAATCAAGAAAAGCAAAGAAAAGAGGAGGGATATTTTAACAAGGGAAACCAAACATAATGATTACAAGCATGTGTTGGTAATGCTACACACACTAAATCCATCATTCAAGCAAAAGAAGAAAGAAGAAAATGTCACCTACCCTATCTACACATTCCACCAAAACTTTGAAATCTCAACCAACCCATTCCTTTCTTTTCAATTTAATAACTTTCACATTTTATATTTTATTTTAATAATAAATTCATATAATAACCAGTTATAATATAAATTCATTTTTCTTGAAAAGCAAATACCCAAATGGTAATTAAATTTTTTAAAATTTACAGTTAATTATTTTATTGAGGTTGAACTCCTTAGTCCGTAAGACCAATTTTTAAAAAATAAGATAAAAAAATTACTAGAAGATTGTGTCTAATATAGTTAAGATCAATTATAATATTTAAAGTATTTTTTGTTTTAAAATTTTTGTCCCTCACACATATAAACATATCAAAACATAAACTCTCAATCTCTCAATCGAAGATTATAGGAGTGAAACAAGACTTGACTTTTGGTCTCACGGTGAGACGTCAATGTTTCGTCTAGAAATATGAGTTTTTCATATTATTATTAATTAATGTTTCATCTAGGAATAAAAATGTCATATTATGATAATATTATTAGAGTCAATTCTCGTATCGTCCATCGAAATTCTATCTAGGATGAGAGTATATTAACCTTGTATCTACTATAATAATATCGTTAGGATAAATTCTTATATTTAAGATATTGTTTATTTTAAAACTCTCTATTATAATTTTTTCTTTAAAATACATCTCATTTTACAAAATTTAAGAGAAATGATATATATTATATTGACTCCTAAGAAAAAAATCAAACTCATTATAAAAAACAATTACGGTTTACAAAATGATAATGAAAAGGACATGTTTGTTTATTTATTTATTTTAAAAATTTGAAGTTTGGAAGAATGCTACTTTTATATTTCAATTGGCAACAAAATAATTGATTTATAAATTTTGGTCATAAGCTCACTATTAACCTTTCTCGGGACTGTCTTCTAGTTTGAACATAAATAGTTCAAATAAAATGTATTATAAATAAATAAAATAAATAATCTTAAAATAACTATTCTAATAATTTTTTTATAAAAAATAAAAGTGATAAATGATATGATATTTATAAATTCTATATTATTTAAGAATTCAAATTAAAAGTAATTCTTTATAGATAACACGTTTTTTAAAGAAAAAAATCATAATAAATTAAAATTTTAAGATAAAAAATATTTTGAATGTAATAACTAATTCAAATAATATTATCATAATTTATTAAAATACTTTCGTTTTTTAACAAATAAGAGTATGTTTTACGTATTGATATATTAATTATTAATTATCGGTTTAATGATAAAAAAACAATTTATATGAATTATTTAGGTTAAAATTTTGTTACTGTTGTTGTTACAAACAAAAGTAGACACTTATATTGAAGCTACGTGGAAGCAGTGATAAAGGTAGAAAGTGTTGCAGAAGGTAATGATGTGATTTGAAAGTATAAATGATGGTCATGATTCATGAATTATTACTGCCGTCGACAACCTTAGCACACGAGTGATTCATTTACTTACATTACATCAATGCTAACATCCAGTAAATAAATGAAAATAAAATAGAAATAAATTACAAGCTGAAAGTGGTTGGTTGAAAAATAAAAAGAGAAAAATTAAGTAAAAGATAAAGAAAAACCATCAATCATATTCACTTTTTTTTTTTGCCCAATCAATTAAATCTATCCCCTCTATGTCTCCCTCCAATCAATTACAACCCTGTTTACTTGTTTACTGGGTAAAAAAATACAGATAAACTAATTAGAAAGTTAAACTTAATCAAACTATTCATTAGAAATTGTTAAATTAACTTAAAAGTATTGAAAAATTAAATTTAAAGTAACTTACAATTAAAATAACTAAAATTTTTAACTGGTTAAAGATCAATATTTTATTAAAATTAAAATAATATTAAAAGAATTAAGATAATCAATGTAATATTAAAGAAATAACCAAAATAAAGCATAGTAAAAAATTTAATATCTACTATCCCTTTGATTAGTTGTTTAGGGTTTATTCCTGTAACGAGTAACAGACAAAACAAAACAAAGTAAATAAATATTTTAATTAAAGATAAAGAATAATTAGCTATTCTTGAAAAAAAGTTGAGAAATGCTACAGTAAGTTAATGAGATAAGGTAGTTTAACAAATATCTTAAATTTAGGCAAACAAACAAACTTATAAATGAATGAAATGTTATAAGAACCGAAATAATTAGTAAAACACATTAAAAGCTAATGAAACTTAGTTAACTCTGTTAAAGACTTGAGGAGACCATGTTTAGTTTGGTGACATCTGCATTTGATAATAATTAATCTATCCTTAGCTTACACACAAAAGTAGTTATCTAAAATGAACAAAACCAATGAAATTGCAGCATATAGATAACTTGTCAAAAATATCATTGAAATAGGGACCAACTTCTTCTGGACCTTTCACCTAACATAGAATTTATAAGCCGAGTCCTAAAAAAACTTGTTTAGTGTTGAAGCGCTAACAGTGATCCCACGCACTTAAACTGAATTGTGAGAATCAGAAAACACTTTATTCACTTATTGAAAGTGAGAATCATAGAGAGATATTTGTATTATTCACATGGTTTATTGTGAACCACCTTAATCTGAAGTATACTCAACATACAAAGAATTCAAAATAGTAAAATATAAGGGTTAAACAGGTTCTGGTGCATTCAAATTCATATCAAGAGGATGTGATATTTCGCTATCAGCTTGCTTTTTAACTAACCGCTGATTACTCTCAACTCCAAATCCACCACGGTTGATGACAGAGAAACCAAAACCCTCTTATATCAGATAAGAATGAAAATTCTCCATTTGAAAGTTAAAACAATATAACTTTTCATATTTTCATTAACTATATGACTTTAAAATTACATAAATAAGTTAACATCAATCACGGAAACGTGCAAACAAAATGAGCACCAATTCACTACTCATAAGAATCTATATATGCATTTATTCCCTTCCATTGCCATGCATGATAGAGGCATAAAGAACAAAAACATAGCCTGTGGTACTAGAGGGACCTATATCTACTTATTCAATATTTGATTAAGCAACTGCCACACTCGCAACATTAGCCAATCGCAATAATTTCTTGCAGACTTGCACTATAAACAATTATTTTATTAAAGCTTGATTCCACAGGCAGCCTCCTTCAAATATCCCCCCTCTCCCTAACTAAGGTTCATGTTGCATCAGAAAAATCCCAAATGATAAATGTTCTTATTCTCTCTATGACTAATATCTGGAGAAGTCACGAAACACCGGATTCCACTATGTCATTCTCCAAACCAATTATAATTAACGGATGGAATCTATTCCAGCAAAAAAGCCTTAATCTAAACTTTCCATTGGGACACTTAAGTCTGTATGATGTAAGAAAATAATGTCTTTATGAAGTGCGTTAAGATATTGGATCCGTATATTACTATAATTTGGGCTTTTACAACAGATAATTGTCTATGTAAGACAACTTGGAACAAGGGGGTTTGGGTCTAAAAAAGTACGCCTAGCCATTGCAAAGTTTTTCTGTCCATATTAAAAAAGAGATGATGGAATGACAATAGTTCCACATTTAGAGGCCTCCTTAAAATTCTCTCTCCAGTTTCCAACAAAGAAAAAGGGCCGGGAATGTTTGTGAACAAGAATCAGATTATCTACGGTGGCCACAGGGTCAGATGATGATGAATAAGGATCTGTCTCCTCCTCACACTTTACAGGCTGAAGTGAAGATACTAGTCATTAATTGGAAAATCAATGGTTATATTGTGATAAAATACATGTACATGTGTATATATTAGGTAGTTAAAATCTCAACCATTGATTTTTCAGTCAACAGTCACAGTTCCACATTTGACCCTCTAATGCGAATGCACTTTGGAGGAGTCAAATCCAATGAATAAAAATCAAGAACAATATGGAAGAACCAAAGTAGCACCAAATAAAGAGTAAATGTACAGATAAGAACAAAGACAATGGCGGCCTGTGCAATATTTAACTAAAGATAATCAATCTGATGTTATTACTGTTTTAATCTCATTTATTAGTTGAATGAAAATCAAACAGAAATATATTTAAATGAAGAATTATAAGCAAGAAAAAATATATATAAAAATCAAACAAACTTCTCATTTACTCCTTCGATATTACATATCTATGACATGCAAAATGCTCATAATTGGACCAACACCAAATTCCACACTGGATAAGTACAGCAACAAAATTTTACAATGAAACCTCTCCTAGGCAGACCTCCTTCCTACATGTTGGTTTGGCTCATCCATCAAATGATACATAATTCCCGTAACAAATTTGTTTTCACAAACCAACTCTAATTTCAATTCCATGTGCTACTCTCTTCCCCAATACTGTTCATCACCAGGAAATAAAAGAACAATTTAGACTAGCTGAATTTTTGCCTAGCAATGAAGTATTAAATACAACAAAGACAGAAAAAGACACTCTGCAAACAACTCAAGACCAAAACTATAGATGAAGAATGGGCTGAACAAAAGGCAACAAGCATATTTCTCACTCTAGAAGTTAAATTTCCTTCATGTAGCGAATACCACCGGAGAGGCTTGAGGTGATTTTGTCTCAATCACAGTAGGGTTTGATCATGAACCTGTAAAGAAGCCTCTTCTTTTTCAAGGTAGGATTGTCAATAGTGAGTAACAATTTTCCCAGTTCACCAACTTTGAAGCTATTGGAAACTACTGGTTCATCGGTGGGGGTCATCTTAGTGGTCTTCTGAATGACGACTGTATAGGCATCTTTAGCATCAGGCTTGAATTCAGCATTATAGCTAACCTCCCAGCCCACCACCCGCAGCTCCCAAACAATAATGCATTTCTGGAATATCACAAGCCTCAATTTAGCGAGATACTTCAATTAAGTTCAGAGTAATGTAGTTAAAAGAAGAGTAGAAATGAAACCCACCTCATAGATAGCAATCTCGACAGTTTGCTTAGTGGTTGGCTTCAAAGGAATTTCGGTGACAGGATCAGACATAGTGAAATCGGGGTTGCAGTCACAGAAATCGACACTGAGGCCCCCATACTGAACGGGCACTTGCTCAGGAGAAATATACCTATTGAATTTTAGAAAAGAAACATGGAAGGTTAGATGATGATGATGATGATAATAGGAGAGAGAAGATAATATGAAATCGAGTTGAGTTGACTAACTTGAAAAGAGTGTCGGGAGACTTGGATGTTCCGGCAAAGATAAATTTGCTTTTTGTCCTCTGAGTCAAGAAGGGATTGATCATGGTATAGAAAGCAAGATACCACCAAGGGACATTGATAAAAACCTGCAGGATCCCTTTCCCTTGATGTTAGAGGAAGAAAAATAGAAATGGAGGAAGCAACCAAGAAAGGAAGGAACTGAAAGCAAAAGCGAACCTGTTTGGCGACAAATTCGGGATAGTTGTCCTGAAGCAACTGCAAAGCCTGTTTGGTGGCAAGGCGAAGTTCCCGTTTTGCAGGGCCAGGAGAGTTTTTGAGGTCATTGACTTGGAAAATGGTGTTGATGCCTCCGGGAGAGAAGTCAAGGTTCCTGATGCTGCGTTCCAACAGCTGAATCCGCCATCGGAGAAACTTGGTGCGGTTCTCCTCGGTGGAGAAGGCCTTCTGGTACAGCTCCTTGTTCTGGAACTCTCCGTAGACGTTGTAACAGACGGGGTGCCCCTCTCTTCCGTGTCCGTGCATGAAAACCACCTTCTCCAACTCCTCTCCGAGATCTTCCTCCAAAAGCGCCTCGATGCCGAACTCCTTCCTCCATCGCAGAGTGTTGTGAATCATCACAAGAGCGTCCTTCACTCTCAAGTCCCGCGCTCTGAGAAACTTTAGAAGAATGACGTCGGTTCTGTTGTCCTTCAAGAGAGGGACGCCCCAGATGGATACCTCGCCTTCCTCCTTCTCCTCCAACTCTTCTCTCAGCGCCTTCTTCAGCTCTTCCACGCCCTTTCTCTCCGAATCAGAAACCCTATTGCTCTCCTCCTTCAACGACTCGCCCACCGTCTCTCCGGCTATAACCTCTTCTGCTTCCTCTTTCTCTTTCTCCTTCTCCTTCTCTTCAACCACAACCGCCTCCTCGACACCTTTTACTTTCTCTTCAATCAGAACCACCTCCTCCGCTTTTACCTTCTCTTCAACCACATCCTCAGCTTTCGCATCATTCTCCGATGGGAGTGACGGAGGCAGCTCTTCGGTGCTGGCAATGGAGTCGGCAGGTACAGGAGGCTCCTGAGGCGGTGCAGCGGCTGGAGGAGGGTTTAAATCGTTTTCAGCCATTTCGGAGAGAGAAGTGGAATTTGACGAGAGAGAGAGTGTTAGTTTTGTTTGGTTGGTTAGAGAGAGTGAGTGTGGGAGTGTAGAAAAATGGTTTGGGGCTGGTAGGAGAAGACAGACAGCGGTTTTGTTTTTATTTTTTAAAGAAACGTTCATCGATTCGTCTGTCTATCTATCCACGAATGTATGTGTATCTATCTACGGAATCCTATGCCACGCAACACATCACACAAGCTCTAGGTTTACGGTGCTTTATTCTTCAGCCCAGCCCAGCCCAGGCCCACACACATCACACAAACTTTCTTTTTTGTACAAAGACACGCCTTTTTCATTTCAACTATAGTTTCTTTTCTTTTTTATCTCTCTTAACACTTTCTTCAGTACTAATCAAATAAAAGGAAAAGAAAGAAGAGAAAGATCAAATACACAATATTAGAAACCAAAAGAACAAATAAAAATCATTTTTTATATCTTATTTTCTTTCTTCTTCTTCTCCTTTTTTATCTATTTCCTCTATTTCTGTTAAGCTTTTTATTTTATTTTATCCATTTTTATTTACTTTATTGTATTTTTATCCTATTTTCATCCTCCTATTATTCACTTGTTTTTTTTCATCTTCCAAACACACCAATAAAGTAAGTGGAAATAAGACAAAAAGAATAAATTTTAAACCTTACATCTGAGAAAAAAAACTAGTAAAGACATTATTTATCATTTTATATTTTAATAATTATTTTTCCTACTTGTTCTTTTTAATTAAATAGAAAACACTTTCTTTTTAATTGAGTGTGAATAACTTTACCTACCAAGTGCTTGATTAAATTTACAAGATTCAATTATTCATCGAGAACTGTACTCCATAAAAACGAAACAGGAATTACTGAATGGGTTGGGCTTGATCTGATGCTTATATGTTCGTTGTACATTCTGAGATTAGAAGCAAGAAACAACTCCCTCGTACATTTGGTTTGTGTCGATGTTGGTGATGAATTGCAAATCCAATTACGAGTGACACATTTTTTCCCATCCAAGGTCTTTCTTATTTTCTTTTTCATTCTTTAACACTACTTAACCTCTTCAGTTACACCACCACAAATCCAATAACCCGGCTCGCTGAAGCAATTTGATTGAAGAGCCAAAATTTTAGAAAATAGTTTTGATGTCATATTAAGATAAATGTCTAAATGTTAAAATCATATAGATTTAACATATCATTAAATAAATTATACATCTTGTACTTGTCTTGTGCATGATTAGGGTTTTCGCTTGGTGGTAATATTTGATCTTATCACGCCATTAAACATCTTATATTTAGGTGATTAATTGTAAGTCTTTGTTTCATTGACATATTGTTCGTTACATTTACGCTGTGAAGATGCAATGTATTTGGTCAATATATAACCTTTTGGCTTTCTCTTTGTGTGTCTTGATTTATCCATCCTAAGCCATAAATGCTAATTAGAAATTGGTCCATAAGTTCATTTTTATTCAGTGCTCATATTACAAGAGAAAAATCAAAACAAGGTATCCTTAATTACAAGGGTCTCAAGGATTGAATTAGGAGAATTCCAAACTGACTGAGATTAAACTTGTGGCACTTAATAGTTAAACTTATTTAGAGGCAAACCAAAGCGATGCCAATGTACATGTGTATATGTTTGTTTCTGGGCTATAGATTCTTATCGTGATGTTGATGTTGATGTTTTGTGTGGAAAATGAGGGTAATATATGATACTTATTTTGAAAGATTATGGGAGCTTTAATGGTGTTGGCAGGGTGTTGAATATGAATAGTGAGGATTGTGAAGATGGTGGCGTTTGAATTAAACTTGAGATTGAAATTGAAATTCTAGTATGAAAGTTGAAACGAAAATAGTAGTTTTCTTGGCTGACATGATTGCACGTGGCCACTGGATTTATGTATATAATCGGGAGCCACAATAACAGAAAAAAGAGAGGCCACAGAAATACCCACCAATCGGTCCCACTCCGAATACTTTAATGGATCTTGCGATACCAATCAAAACCAAGTTAGCTGCGATACATATGTAGCCTAACCTTGCTTGTCTTGGTTTGGTTTGGTTTATGCATGAATGGCTCATTTACTGGCGACTAACCCCAATGCTTCACATAAACTTATGTGCTCAAACTTGGGGTACGGTGCCAGAAGAGGATCCAGAAGTGGTTGTTACAGAGTGGGGAGGAAAAGTGTGTTGCAATGCAGCAGCACAAGCACAAGCACAAGCACAAGCAAAAGCAAAAGCATCAGCAGTTCGCAATTACCTTGTGCTGATCAGGATGTGAGGTTGCAGATAGAGAATGGTAGCAGTGGAAAGCTGAAGCAGCAGTTTGAGTATTTGGTGTGTGAATATGGATGGAGAGTAAGGAGGCTATTTGAAAACGCAGATGAGATAAGGAAGGCATCTCAAGTTCAGGCCGAAGCATTCCATGTTCCTGTCTCTCTTTTCAATGACTTGTTCTTCCAATTCTTTCAGGTTCACTTTTCTCCTTTTCCTTTTCCTTTTCCAATCACACAAATCACTTCATTTTTTGCATCAATTTTTAAAAGGAGTAAATATCTCTTATTTTAGCTTTTTTAAAGCACACTTTACACTGATTTTATTATTATATTTAAGGAGAATGAAATAAGTGTGAATGAATGTGAAATTTTGAACTATGATTAGACATTACATAAGCTTTAAATTTTGTGTGAAGGTGAGCTTTAAATTTTCTGATCAGGCACGCACCTCTTAATTATTTTGTGTGCTTTTTGCTGTCTTGCCTTGAACCAATAGGCGGAAGTGCTTTCGGGGCTCCTTTACAAGCTTAAAAATTCACCACCTAATAGGTAAATTTGTCCTTTCTTAGCATGTTTATGAATATTATTGTTATCAAATATGTGAACTTATAATATAAAACTACTTAAAATGGAAAAAAAAAAAAAAACGTTGATGCAGCATGCAATAACCCTCCTTATGTTAACCTATTTCTTAGTTATATACTGCACAATGTGTCTGTGGTTTTTTCATGATGAAGAGTATTGAAATTTCGGCTGTTGTTATGTGAAACGTTAGACAGTAACGTATGACATGTTACTCAGGTATGCTTGTTTGGTAGCTGAGCCAGCAAAAGACGATCCAGATTCAACAAAACAACTGGTAGGCGTCATAGATGTGACTGTCTTAAGAGATCAAAATGTGCTGCAATATCTTCCACCTGAAGCTGAAGAATACCTTTACATATCAGGAATAGCAGTCTCCAAAACATTCAGGTGATTACGCACAATTTCATATTCAGTACATAGATCTTCCTCGTGTTGTTGTGAAGTGCGTATTTATGAAACTAATTGATAACACAGGAGGAGGAGAATAGCGACTGCACTGTTGAAAGCCTGCGACGTGCTTTCCATTTTGTGGGGTTTTGAGTTTCTTGCCCTTCGAGCCTATGAAGAAGATCTAGGTGCTCGCAAATTGTACGCAAATGCTGGGTATCAAGTCGTGTCTCGAGACCCACCGTGGACAAGTAATTGGATTGGAAAGAAATGTCGTGTTCTTATGATCAAAAGAGCTAATTTGTCCAAGTAGCTTAATTTAGAGTAAAATTGTTAAGACATCTAAACAAAATAACTGTAATCAAGGTATATAGTATGTGCTAGTATGATTTGTTCATTATTTCTTACATTTCAACCCCTTGTCCCTGTAAAAGACGAGTCAATTAATGGACCATCTATTTTCCACCTTGAATCCCCTTTTCCTTAATTTAATTAATAGTCTGCAGTTGGCGTTTGTCTCAAAGATCATTCAGCTGTACATGCCCTCTTAATTCAATGCTTCACAGCACCGTGCCAAATACAAATACCCTTTCAACTATTTTGATCATCCCTTACTTCATGATAACTCCTGTGGATCTCACTGATTTTTCAAATCTAATAAAAAATTAAATCTACAAAACCAACATTCCATTCATTGTCAAAATCAACAAATGAAACTAAGTTAATTTTCCATGTCAAACAAATAAAATATATCTCGATCAATTATTTTACTGTCATGCCATGCCAAGTGAGAAGCCTGCCTTGGACTTGGACTCTGCTCGTAATATAAGAAAGATGATGTATCAGAAAGGCGTTTGTATCACGAGAACACTGGATAAGGATCAATTAACAAGAAAAACAACTAAAGATTAGACAAATGTAACGAAAATTTCTTCAGCGCACTGGAGATGACTAGTTTCTTGTTAGAAATTAAGCTCAAAATCGGTTTACCTTATTTTAGTGGAAAAAATCACTTGGTCTTATCAGCTTCATAAGAAAATTTATGAAAAATAAGCATTTATCAATATTTAAGCTAAAGCAAACAGGTGCTAATTAAACCACGAGAAAAAGGAAAGGAAAAATATTCACGATCGATAAGTTACTTGATTCTATCTTATATATGAAATCTAATGTAGAATGCTTATTGTTCATTTAGACGGAGGTCCAGTATTAACACAACCCAGGGTAGTCCCGCGGAGTTCTATGAATCTGTTCATTTCACAGGGGATTCATCTTTACCCGTTTCCTTGAAAGCATAAAAATAAGCAAGACACGAGAAAAAGTTGCCCGATGAAGCATCTCGTCATATACAAACCAGTCCAAGAGTGTCGAAATACAACAAATTTTAACTTAAAATCCTTACAGAATACAATATGCGCAGTTATTCATTATAATATGAACTTTACACAAACCTACTTAAGATATGTAGAAACTAAGAATCAACAACCCCAAGCAAGCTGTATCTATGGCTCCACGATGATTTTTCCAGTAGCATGTCCATCAATGCTCTTAGCCCAAGCATCTTCGGCTTTGCTCAAAGGAAACTTGGAGTCAATAACAGACTTGAGTTTGCCATCCTTCAATAGTTGAAGTAGATAGTCCAGGCCCTCACGCTTGACATCTACAAAAAATGGCACCAGCCGCTTCTTGGAAAAAGTAACTTTCTTCAGGGCAGCAGTCCATAACGAACTTGCATTAGGTGTTAAATCAACTACCACTCCCTTTTCAGTCAAATTAGGTTCAAAAGTTGACCAAGGTATGCCAGTTGTACAGTGTATGACTGCGTCATATTTCTTACCAGATGGACTCTTCAGTGCTGCCCCCTCCGGAGTCCTGTAGTCAAGAACCTCATCGGCACCTAGGCCCTTAACAAACTCAACGTTGCGAGCCCCACAAGTGGCTGTGACATGCGTGTTCCCAAGCTTTGCCAGTTGAACAGCATAGTGACCCACACCACCTGAAGCAGCAGTTACTAAAATGTTCTTGGGCTGGCCAGTCCCATCAAGCTTGACTTTTGCAATTTGAGTGAGGGCATCACGAGCTGTGAGTGCGGCAATAGGTAATGCTGCAGCATCAGCAGCTAAGACTTCAGATGGTCTGACAGCTGTTAAGCTCTCACTAGCCACAGCAAACTCAGCCAGTCCACCTCCATACTGGCATTCAACATATACAACACAAAATGGGCGTTAGACAGTTGCCACTAGCATATGAACTGGAAAAGATTCTTTAGCTTGGAGCAAGTTCAGGTGTAACATGTCATTTACTTCACACTAGAATTCATCTGGCACGATCATATATTCTACAGTTTTTAACTAGATTTTTGATAGACACAATTCACTTTCATTCAAGGGGCTATTAGTGAATTCTTTTAAATAGAAAGAAAAGCATTGAAGCAGTATTATTATGTGATTAAGAGAAGATGAGGTTTGGCATGGTGTAAGGTTGCTGTCCTAATATTATCATATAATAATTAAGAAAGTCTTAGTCTTCAAGTAAGCGACAAACAGGTTGTGCCCCTAAGGCTAAGAAAATGCGTACAATTATGTTTTGGTAGTTGTAGTTTTGACATAGAAAAGATAGATATATAAAAGCAGTTACAGTGAGTATGTTGTATAACAATGACTATGCAGAGCCTCTTTAGTGAACTATGCAACTATACTCTTTAGTAGGCGACAAAGATGTTCGTTTAACAGCAAATTAGGATGGTGGTGGTTCCAAAAATTATAATTAATTATCCCCTCTTTCTTCATGCTTGGTATAGCGATTAGCAAAGAATAAACAGTGAGACGATATAGTGTTTCAATTTGCAATTGAAACGATGGGAGGAGTGGAAGAAAAAGAGAATTGAGTTACTTGATGAGTGAGTTTAGCAAGGACTTTATCCCCAACTTTGAAATCTTTGACTTGCGGTCCGATCTCAACAATTTCTCCAGCGACATCAGTGCCTGATAGTGATATGATGATGCAAAAAAGAATGGTAAATATTTATAACTATAAATAGCAAAGAAAAAAGAGTGAGTGAATGAATGGAACGGAGGATCGAAAAGAAGAAAACATGGCATACAAGGTATGTGGGGAAAGGATCTGGGTAAAAATAGAGGACGCAGAAGACCCTTCTGAATCTTCCAATCAATTGGATTAATACTGATTGCTTCCAATTTCAGTAAAACCTCACTTGCCTTGGGAGTGGGAACGCCAACTTGAACGTGCTGATCATGGAAATATGAAGAAATTAGGTTAACTTGAAATGAATTGAATTGAATAGAAAGAGAGGAAAACGCAAACCTTCAATCCGGCGGGGCCTCCGCCATAGGCGTCGTATTGAAGAGCATTCATGAGATTGGTAGTGCTTCTCGTTGTCATCTCTTCTTTCGTCCTTACACTCTGACAGATCACACCTCCTATCCTATCTTTTTCTTATATAACCAAAAAAATTAATAAATATTCTTAATTATTTTATTTCATTAGGAAATTCTACAAATTATTATATTTCATAAAATTTTAATAGTTATTTAATAAATAAATATTTAATAGATTTATTGCAAAATTAATACAAAATACTTTTCAAACTATAATAATAATAATAATAATAATAATTATTATTATTATTATTACAACTATTATAAATATTAGTATTACTATTATCATTTTAGTGACAAAGAATTGAAATTAAAAAGACTTTATATTAAATAAAAATATTTAATATCAAATTTTACAATTATTTAATTAAAATACGTGGTATTTAATATTAAATAAAATATATTTTTAAATAAAAATAATATTTAATCTAATTATAATTTGATCGAATTATAATAATTAATTATATTAAAAAAATTAAAATATATATTTATTAAAAATTATTTTAAAATAAATATTTAATTTTTTAATAATTTTTAAATTAATAATAATATTTATATTACCTCATATGTATAATATATTAAATTATAATATTTTTGTATTTATATATTTTTATTTTTTAGAAATAATAAAATATTATTTTATTAAATTTAATTTATTATTTTTAACTGAAGAAAAAATAAAGTGATAAAAAAATAAGAAAAAAATATAAAACAAGGACAAAAATATTAATAAAAATTAAATTATGTAAGATAAATTTATTTTTTATTATTAAATTTTATTTATTGATAATAAATTGGTCTAAGTAAAAAAAATAATTAATATGTATTTATGAAATTAAGAACCCAGCAGCTTATGATAGACTCAATACATAGGAGGAAAAGTTATTAACTTGATGAAGTGACGAGGACAAGAACCCAGCACGCATTATTAATTGGTACAGCAAATATTAACTTCAAATCCTTATATTACAAGTATGCCCAGTTATACTTTTCATACACTTTGAGCTTTTAATTTACACAAACTTTGTCCAGATATACACAAGTAGAAACTATAGAATTGCAACAACTCCAAGCAAACTTATTTATTTATGGCTCCACAGTGATTTTTCCAGTAGCATGGCCATCAATGCTCTTAGCCCAAGCATCTTCAGCTTTGCTCAAAGGAAACTTGGAGTCAATAGCAGACTTGAGTTTTCCATCCTTCAATAATTGAAGTAGATAATCCAGGCCCTCACGCTTGACATCTACAAAAAATGGCACCAGCCGCCTCTTGGAAAAAGTAACTTTCTTCAGGGCAGCACACATCAATGAAGATGGATTAGGAGTTAAATCAACTACCACTCCCTTCTCACTCATATTAGGTTCAAAAGTTGACCAAGGGATTCGGTTATACAATGTATCAGTGGCGGATCTTATTGGGAGCCGAGGGTCGTGACCCCTCAAAATTTTGTAACTCTCATGTAATTTATAATTTTGGTCCCCAAAACATAGTGAACATTTAATATATTTACTTGTATATTTACAATTTTATCCTCTTAGTCCTTCCTCAGTTTTGTAACTTTCATATAATTTATGATTTTGTTCCCCTCAAACTTAATCATCATTTAACATATTTAAGTATATATTTAAAATTTTATCTTTTCATCCTTTCATCTTCTTTCTTCTTTTTATATTTATTTATTATTTATTAATAATATATTTTTTGGCCCCTCCAAGATCAATCCTCATAATCCCTCACTGTGACTGCCCCCTCTAGAGTCCTGTAGTCAAGAACCTCATCGGCACCAAGGCCCTTAACAAACTCAATGTTGCGACCCCCCACAAGTTGCTGTGACATGAGTGTTCCCCAATTTTGCTAGTTGAACAACATAGTGACCTACACCACCTGAAGCAGCAGTTACCAAAATGTTCTTGAGTCCCATCAAACTTGATTCCTGCAATTTGCGCCAGAGCATCACGAAGCCGTGAGTCCTGCGATAGGCAATGCTGCAGCTTTTGCCGCTGAGACTTCAGATGGTCTGCTAGCTGTTAAGCTCTCACTACCCACAGCAAACTCAGCCAGACCACCTCCATAGTGTCATGTCATCGTCATTCACCACACAATACAACACAACACAAAACACCAAGTAACTAACCATTCTTATACATAAATCATAACACAACATATAATATAGTGTGCTTAACTAAGAATTGGACAAGATTCTTTAAATTCATTACAACAAGTACAACTCTAACATGCCATTTATTTCACATAGAAATATTTTGACAGTGGCACCATCATACTATCATGCATTCTACGTTTCAAACAGATTTCAGATAAACAAAGGATTAGCTAATAGTGTACTACCTTTAGCTTTGTTTGAACTGATGGAGTAAACTTACTACATGCTGGGTGAATTAGGATGATGATGGTGATGTAGTTACTTTATTTAAAGATTAGCAAAGAATAAAGCATTTGCAGTTGAAATGAATGAATTACTCGATAAGTGAGTTTAGCAAGGACTTTGTCTCCAACTTTGAAATCTTTAACTTGGGATCCGATCTGAACAACCTCTTCGGCAACATCAGTGCCTGAAAACAACAATGAAGGAATAAATGAATGTTAAGTGTACGATTGAATAAGAGAAAGAAATGGAGGAGAGGTAGATACAACTTACAAGGTGTGTGGGGAAACTTCCCAGGGAAAAACAAGGGGCGGAGAAGACCCTTATGAATCTTCCAATCGATTGGATTAATGCTAATTGCTTCCACTTTCATTAAAACCTCCTGCTTCTTTGGACATTTTAGGAAGGATAGGAAAGATGATTTGATGTTTAGTAGTGAAATTAGTGTAGAAAATAGTTTTTAGAAAGAGGTGAACAAATAGGATAATGTTTGTATGAGGGAAGATAGTAATTGATCTTAGGAGTGTTACAAGATATGTAGGAGCTTATATTAGATTTTTCACACACATTACATAAGTGGCATTGCCTATTTATAGGCTTGATCCACTATCTCCTAAATATTCTACATAATTCTAGATTTTCTAAATAATTCTATATTTTCTTAACTCTAGAATTATCTATCTTCTTCTTTCAAACATTTCTAGAATCTTTTAATGATTCTAGATATTACTCATATGGAATTCCTAATTCTAGTAGCATCTAGGATTTTAATTTCTAGATATTTCTAGAATTTGCATAATTTTTTAACACTCCTCCTTGATGATAAGTCCTGTAACTCCAAGCATGAAACATAATTGTTCAAACTTGGCTTTTGGTAGTGCCTTGGTAAATATGTCTGCAATTTGATCTTCTGTAGTGCAGTACTCAAGTTGAATTTGTTTAGTCGCTTCAACCTCTCTGATGAAGTGATATTTAATAGTTATATGTTTTGTTCTTTGATGATGGACTGGATTCTTTGTCAATACTATCGTTGACTTGTTATCACAGTAAATTATAGTAGATCCATGTTGTTGTTTTCCCATCTCTTCAAGTATTCTTCGGAGCCATATAGCTTGACTTGTAGCCTCAGCTGCAGCCATGTACTTTGCCTCTGTTGTTGATTGTGCTATTGTTGCTTGCTTCTTAGATGCCCAAGAGAAAAATCTTGATCAAAGTGAGAATGCGTATCCTGACATACTCTTCATGTCGTCTATTGATCCCGCCTAATCATTATCAGAGTAGCCAATCAACTTTGAGTCGTTCATAGTTTTGTACCATATACCAAAGTCCTTTGTGCCTTGTAGATATCTTAAAATCCTTTTTGCTGCTCGAAAGTGAATTTGACTTGGTCTTTGCATGAACCTTGATAGAAGGCTTGTAGCATACATGATATATGGTCGTGTAGCGGTAAGAGATAGTAAGCTTCCAATCAAATTTTTGTAGTGTGATGCGTCAGCTTCTGGTGCTCCATCATCTTTCTTTAGCTTTTTGTTTACCACTAAAGGGATAGTGACAGGTTTACATCCGTACATCTTGAATTTCTTTAGTAGAGCTTCAGTATATTTCTTCTGAGAGATAAATATTCCTTCTTTTTGTTGTATCACCTTTATCCCGAGGAAGTAGTTCATCAAGCCAAGATCAGTCATTTCGAATGTTTTCATCATATCTTCTTTGAATTCTTTAATCATTTTCTTATTGTTTCCTATATAGATGAGATCATCAACATATAAGGAGACAATGAGATTTTACTGACCTTGTGTCTTGATATAAAATGTTGGCTCACTCTTGCTTCTCCTGAATCCTTGATCGATAAAATATTTATCAATTTTGTTATACCATGCTCGAGGAGCTTGCTTCAAGCCATATAGAGCTTTTCTTAGTCTTAGTATTTTTTCGTCGTTGCCTTTGTTGATGAAGTCTTGTGGTTGCTCAACATAGATCTCTTCTTCAAGTTTTCCATTGAGAAAGGCGGATTTGACATCCAGTTGATGGATGTTCCAACCTTTTTGTGCTGCAAGGGCTATTAAATCTCTAATTGTATCCAGACGAGCAACTAGAGCAAAAGTCTCATTGTAGTCGATTCCAGGTTGTTGTGAGTATCCTTTTGCAAACAATCTTGCCTTATATTTTTGTATGGTTCCATCAGGGTTGAGTTTAGTTTTATATACTCATTTTACTCTAATGATATCTTTTCCGTGAGGACAATCTACAAGCTCCCAAGTATTATTCTTCTCAATCATTTTGATTTCTTCTTCCATGGTCTTGACCCATACTTCTTGTTTTGAAGCTTCTTCATAGCAGAAAATCTCAATGATGACCATGTTACAAGTTTCATATATATCTACCAAAGATCTTACACGTCTTGTTGTAGACTTTGGTAAAGTATATTCTTCTTCTTCTTGTGGAGGTGTACTTGGATCTCCTGTGTCTTCTTCAGGTTTTTGTATTGGAGTCAGGATGTTGCTTCTAACAATATTTTCTTCTTCCCAATTCCAAGAAGCATTTTCGTCAATCTCAACATCTCGACTGATGAAGAGTTTCTTTGTTTGTGGGTTGTAGACTCAATAGCCTTTTGATTGTTGGTTGTATCCCAAGAATATTCCTCTTATAGTTTTGTTTTCAAGCTTATGCCTCCTTTGATCAGGAACATGTATATAGCAAATTTATCCAAATATTTGTAGGTGTTTAGCTGATGGTTTTCTTCCACTCCAAGATTCAATAGGAGTCGTGTTTTGAACTGCCTTAGTTGGGCATCTATTGAGTATATACACGGTAGTGTAGACCGCTTTTGTTCAAAACGTATTTGGCAAGTCTTTCTCCTTCAGCATTGATCTCACCATTTCCATCACTGTGCGATTCTTTCTTTCTAATACACCATTTTGTTGTGGTGTATATGAAACTGTAAGTTGTCTTTCTATTCCTTCATCTTCATAGAATTTATTAAATTTGTTGGAGGTGTACTCTTTGCCTCAATCGCTCATGAGCACCTTTATCTATTTTCCGCTTTGCTTTTCGACAAGGGCCTTAAATTTTTTGAATATTCCAAAGACTTCTGATTTTGCTTTAATGAATTAGACCCAAGTCATTCTAGAAAAATCATCAATGAAAAGAATGAAGTACCTGTTGTTATTAAGTGATGGAGTCCTCATCGGTCCGCAAATATCTATGTGGATTAACTCCAACAAGTCTTTGGCTCTCCAAGTAATTTCCGTAGAAAATGGTAATTTGTGTTGCTTTCCTAGAAGACATCCTTCACAAGCTTTGCTACTCTCCTTAAGGCTTGGTAGATCTCTCATCATGCCTTTTTGATATAATAGCTTTAAGGCATGAGTATTGAAGTGACCAAATCTACGATGCCACAACCATGAGGCATCAACTTCTACTTTCATGACAATGTTAATTCCTCGATCGAAGCTTATAAGAAAATTTCTATTTCTCTTTTCCATTTTTACTTGGTTAATCTCTAGATTTTTCTTATCATAGATAATGCATGTATCTCTTTCAAAGTGGATAGTATATCCTTTCTCCATCATTTGACCAATACTTAAGATATTTTCTTTAAGATTGGGAACTAGTAAAACATCATTGATAAGTCTCATACCTTTCTTGGTCTCCACCATGACACTGTCTTTTCCTTTTGACTCTATCACGGTGTCATTTCCCAATTGCACTTGAACTTTGATGGAGTTATCAATTTCTTTGAAAATGCTTGGATCATTCGTCATATGGTTACTACATCCGCTGTCCAAGTACCATCTTCCTTTTGATTCATTATTAGAACATCCCGTAGTATAGAAGAGATGTTGTTCTTTGTCCCGTTCTTCGGCAAAATTTGCTTGTTGATGATTTTTGTTGCAACACATTTTCTCTACATGTCCAAATTTCTTACAGTATTGACATTGAGATTTTCCTTGATGTCAACAATCTTTTTCCAAGTGACTTGTATTTTTGCAAGTGCCACATGGAGGATATTTTCCTTGAATAGTCTTGGAAAAATTTCTAGAATTTTCCTTATTCCTAGAAATTTCTCTATTAATTTTTGTCCTCCATTTTAAGACCGTAATTTTAGTTTTTATTGAAAGACATTTTCGACTGAGTTTTCTTCACGTCTTTTCAATCTTTATTCATATGCTTCAAGAGAGCCTATTAGTTGTGTCACCGATAATTTAGATAACTCTTTTGTTTGTTCAATTGCAGTTGCAATTGCATCATATTTTTTAGGAATAGAAATTAGAATTTTCTCAACAATTTTCTTATCAAGAATATTTTCCCATATGCTCTTATCTGACTAACTATTTCTTTTATTCTATAATAGTAATATTTTATAGTCTCGGATTCATTCATTCTTATTAACTCAAATTCTCTTCTTAGTGAATGGAGTTTAATATTACGTACCTCGTCGCTTCCTTGAAACTCCTCCTGAATTATATTTCAAGCTTCCTTTGCACTTGTGACACCCATTATTCTTGGAAAAATAGTGTCATCAACTGCTTGTTGAAGAGTGAATAATGCCCTTGAATCCCTCTGTTTGTTTTCCTTCAGCTCCTTCCTCTAGGCAATTGTAAGAGTTGAGATGTCTTTTGGAATAGTGAACTCATCTTCTATGGCGTCCCAAAGATCTTGAGAACAAAAAAAATGTCCTCACTTTAACTCTCCAAAAATCATAATTTTCTCCCTTAAAAATAGGGATTGGAATGGATGATGTTTGGTTGGTAGTGGTTATAGGTTGAAATTTTTCTTTTGGAAATAATGTGTAATGGGATTGAGTTTTTTAAGGTAGTCGGAAAATTTTCTCTACGTCCAGTAGGTGACCGAACGTAGCTCTGATATAACACTGTTAGTATTTTAGGAATGATAGGAAAGATAATTTGATGTTTAATAGTGAGATTAGTGTAGAAAATAATTTTTAGAAAGAGGTGGACAAATGAGATAAGGTTTGTATGAAGGAAGATAATAATTGATTTTAGAAGTATTACAAGATATGTAGGAACTTGTATTAGATTTTCTACCTACATTACATAAGAGACATTGCCTATATTATAAGTTTGATCTATTATCTCCTAAATATTTTATATAATTCTAAATTTTCTTAACTCTAAAATTATTTATCTTTTTCTTTCAAATATTTCTAGAATATTCTAACTATTCTAAATATTACTCGTATAAAAATCCTAATTCTAGTATCATCTAAGATTTTAATTTCTAAATATTTCTAAAATTTGCATCATCTTTTATCATAACCTCAACTTCAACGTGCTGCGTGCAACACAATATGCAAATTAATTGATTACATTTGTTTGAACTCAACTACAATAATACGCAAATTAACAAACAAACTTTCAAACCTTCAAGGCACTGGGACCTCCCCCACATGCCACCGCATTCATTACATTCTTCGCCATCTCTTCTCTTCTCTTCCTATTTCCTCGTTCTCTATTATAGCTCCACATATTATTCTTTTATTAATCCAAATTATTTTTTAACACTAATTATATCTCATTAAAGTCAAACACTTTTAATATTGATTAAATATATATTGTATTATTTCCTTACAACACAACTTGTTTCTTAAAAACATGTCTTGTTTATTTAAAAATCTTCTTTTTTATGCCCTGAACAATTCAACTTCTGTGTGTGAACTCAAGGGAGATAAATATCTTTCTTCCAGGACTTCGGCTGAAAGCCTGAAACCTACACGTGGCATAACATAGACCATATATATTCATTATTTCTATTTTTATTATTAAATATTAATAAATTAGATGGTTGATTTTTTCACACGTGACCTGACCAGAATGGTTGTAGTTGTACTCGTGGTTAAGAAATTTCAAAAAGGAAGAATAATCCTCTTTTCAATTTTTATATTTAATCTTTTAAATTGGTAAATCAGATCTTTATCACATTAGTGGAAGAAAAATAAAAATAATATAATATAATAATCACTACAACGAAGTAAAAGAAATAGATCTTCAATCATGTTTTTGTAAAAGAAAATTGAAAATATTACTATTTTGAGAGTACACCAAAAACTGAGAGGCGTTACTAAGATTGCAGAAAAGTATGTGGTGGACTTTCATAAGGGTGGCGTATACAACTTCTCTATGCATTAGTTTTCAGGTAAAAATATTTCAATTAAAGCTTCTTGGAAAGGAAGAAATATGTTGAACAAGGAACTCTGGTAATGAGAGGGAGAGAATCTTAGAAGAATAAGGTTTAGTTAAATCAAAGTTAACTGATTCAATGATAAGAAATATATTATTTATATTCAATTGTCTCCACTTTTTTTCTTTTTTTTTCAATTAAACACTTTTCAATTGAGCTTATTTTCATTTATGCAATTATCTTATTTATCTCATATCTATGAAACAAGGTATTAATATAAATAAAAAATTGAAGAAAAATATTAATTAAGAAACACATTCTGTAAAAAAAAAATCAATATCATCTCTGGCTCACTATAAACATTGAAAAAGACATATGGATGGTTAATTTGGCATGGAAAAAATGATAGAAATGTAAATTATTATTATTATTATTATTATTATTATTATTATTATTATTATTATTATTATTATTATTATTATTATTATTATTACGGTGATGAAGTAAAGACATATACATACATACATAGGTCTTAGGGCGAGGTTTGGGAGGGAATGAGAGGAGCGTGAGCAGTGAGGCCAAGAAAATGATGGCGGTAACGGTACCTGTGCGGTGGCAACCACCAAACATTAGGTTTACGATAGAATCTCAGGCGAAGAGAGGGAGAGTGGTAGTGAAAGCGTTTGGTAATGGAAATGGAAAGGGTAAGGGCAGGAGAGATATGGATAGGGTTTGGAGGGAGGCGTGGCGAAGTGCCAACGATGGCTTTGAGCGCTTCCTCTTCGAAGCCAGGAAGACTGCCGAGCGCATCGACCGCCGCTATTCCCTTTCGCGCCGTCTCTCCTCCGTCGCCAGGGCCGCGGCGGACCGAGCCCGCGAGATTGATCGTGAATTTGAGATTGGACAACGCTACCGCACTTTCTCCATCGATTTCCAAAGGAACTGGCCCAAGGTCAGTGTGTTTGTTTGTTCGTTTGTTTTCCTATTTTGGTTTCATGGGTCGATCGATTGATTGTAATTTTGCATTGGTGCAGTACAGGAAGCAGCTCAACGATTTTCTCGATAGTCCCATCGGAAAGAGCTTTGCTGTAAGTAAATCCATCTTTCTCTCAATCATTCTATCAGTATATAACATCACCATATCTTATTTTCTACTTGTTATCGCTTCTCAGACGCTTTTCTTCATCTGGTTCGCACTCTCTGGTTGGCTTTTTCGCATTCTCATAATCGCGACATGGGTACTTCCATTTGCTGGACCTCTTCTCATTGGAACACTCGCCAACTCCTTAGTTATCAAGGTACCCAACTCATCCCATACTCTTAATATCTGCTACTATATATTATACTGAAATCAACATTGAAATTGAAATTGGACAGGGCACTTGTCCGGCCTGCAAGATGCAATTTACTGGCTACAAGAGCCAGATAATTCGATGTACAGGCTGTGGCAACATTGTGTGGCAACCTAAAGGTGGTAAAGGGGATTTCTTTTCAAGAGGTGCAGGTGGTAGATCCAACTCCACATCGAAGTCAGATCCTGACATTATTGATGTCGATTTTGAGGAGAAATGAAGAGATCCATGAACCCATTTCGCTTTGCTAAACCCACCATTCATTATTTCTTTCTGCCTTGGCACCTTTTTTTACAACTCTACTTTGTTGTTTTACGTACCAAGTTAGTTCGCTTCTATGCATCTGTAAATCTTTCTTCATATTATGAGTTCCAGAAATGGGAGACCAAACAAAAGGATACTGAAAAAAAAATAGCAATAATAGAACAAACATTTATGCCTCTTCTGAATGAGTTAAAACACTTTCTGGGAGATACCATCACGTTATCTATGCAAAAACTGTATTGGTTAGGTTAGCTAAGTAGAATCATTTTGTGAGCGTCACCCTCGTCATAGAGGAAACATATTGCCCTCAAATGCACCTGGTGCCCCTTTCGAATGTTAAATATTGGAGGATTGATTTTAAATATCTGAGATGAGTGCTACCTAGTACTAAACATTCATGTCTCTTTCTCATGTTTTCAATCTCCCGTGTTTTTCTCTTTATCTTTTCTCAAGTCTAAGTTTCTTTCTCAGGAGTAACGTGGATTTAAAGAGAAACAGCATATTAAAGACGTAATGCGGCGATGGCCAACAAACAAGGATGGCCAGAGGTTTAAAATTTCCAATTTCGTTTCACTCTGAATTATATGCCTAAATGGATCTCTTCCCAAGACATTCTTTTTTCATTCTTAATCAATGCCCCATCGAAAGGAATTATCTCATTATAACAACCAAACCGACAAAAGTGGAACAATGTTCATGCAGCTTCTTTCCCTGCCATCAAGGACTACGCAGTTCTTAGACTAATCTACTAATTCAGAGGGGGTTATTTTCCTTTATTTTCAACCCCCTTTTTCTGTTTTCCTATGTACATTGGAAAGAGTATAATTCATCACTACACTAGCGAGCTATATGAAGCCATCCTAAGATGGAGATCCTTCTACTGTACATTCTTTCGTGAATTACACAATCTCGACTACATCGTGTAGGGGCAATAACCGCAAGTCCAGATGGATGTTAATATTATGCGGATATGTACACTGTAATGGCGCAGCAGGTAAACTTGATTGTTTACACCACCAGCCATGCATTTAGAAATTAGGCGCAGCGTGCTTCTGCAGGACCTTCTTAGCTTTGTTCGAGAAGCTTCTGACCAGGACCTTGTCAGAGAAAGTTAACGGAAGATCTTCCTCTACAGTGTCTCTGGGTTCATACCAACCAACAGATGTACTTTCGTGTTTTGATTTGTCCATGCTAGATACAGCTGACAAATTAGAATCTTCTGGTGTATCTTGATACAAGTGTTTCAATATGAAAAGGGCGGTATCATAGTCCCGCCAATAGTTTCTGTCAACCAGATAGAGAGATTAAACACGGAAGTAAAATAAACAGACATCAATAGCAATTCTGTCAGAAAAATAAATGGCTATGGTAGTAAAAAATAACCGAAGCTCCAAAGCATATTCCATCGCCAAATGTAATATTTACCATGTATCCTCCGCCATCTTTATCCGGCATGTTAGATAATGGATATTGCTTCTTTCAGGAAACCACACAATCACAAATCTCTAATAATATTGCTTTATTGTATAACAAGGAAAGAAAATATCTTAAAACCACTAGAAAATTAAACATGCTAGTGTACTGAGCAAAAACAAAGCAAAACAAGAACCAAACTAAACAAATGCTGCACACCAAATGATAGGACCCAGATCATTTCAGTCACCACATTGCATTTGTTTTTATGGACTATGTTTCACAAATGACTCTGACCCAACAATTGAGCCATCAACCAGGCAGTTGGAAAAAGAAAATATATCCAATCAGAAGTTTCACAAGTCGTAATTTCTATCCAGTTGAATTTTATTAGTTCTATATGCTTACACATTTCTTGAGGGGGAGGAGCACCGTTTCTAAACATTCATTTTTTCTTAAATTTAAAAATTAAATAAAGTAGAAAGATGGACCCATCAGCGCCAGATCTCTAGAAAAAACAAACATACGCAACCTTACTTTAATAAGCTAAAAGATTCTTTCCATGAAAAGAATCCGTCACCACAAGGTGGCACAACACAGGATGCTTCTTCCTGAATCCTATAAAATTCTTGAGCACTTTCTATTTATTCTGAAATTGGACTTTCTGAAATATAAAAATTTTATTCTGGAAAACCAATTCCGAAATGAATGAGGTGTCCAAGAATTTTAGGGCATAAAAAAATAGCCCATAAGACAAGCATAACTCTTTTAAAAAAAAGCAGCTCGACCAGTAACCTAAAATATAACTCAATTGCCTCATTGGCGACAATTCCAATAACCAGGATCTTGATAGTATAACTACAACTCTACAAGAATGTTAAAGTTGTAAATACACTCACGTATGTGCTCCAATTGCTTGCAGATATGGATGCTCAAAGGTCTTGTCCTGCATACGATTTATGAAAAAAAGGTGAAACTAATGGCAGCCATTATTTGGAAAGAACCTAGGTATCCAATAAGGTAGTCCCATTTCCTTTCAAACATTTTTGTTATATTAATTTTAGCACATAAATTTTCAAATTTTAATGTCTCGGTAGTTGAGATTAATATTTTTCATGTAAATACCAATTTCTCGTTGAAAAGAAGCAAAGAAGTATTTAATAACCAGAACATGGTGTGTGCGGTAGGGGAATGATTGAAATGCGAGGTATATACACTTTTGTTTCACCCAGGCCCCTTGTACGGTGAGGTATCTGACTTATAGGTAAGGTAAACGTGCATTTATTTAACCTATTGACTGGAGACTCCTCACTCAATACAAGATGAGTCATTACATTGACTTTATCTGTAAGTCATTTGTCTTATCCTGGAAAAGGAATCTAAGGACACAATGGATTCTTCATTTACACCAAAGAGTTCATAAATCAGTTGTGTTGTATGTTCTCATTTTGCACAATACTTGAAGCATGTGAGAAAATTAGCTAATGAGAACAACTTCATTCATACCTGAAGCATGTGATCAATTCGACCACTCTTGCTTCCTGTCAACCTCTCTATCATAAAAGATCCATATGATGGCTCTTCTTCCTCTTCCGAACTCTCCCCTTCAGTATAAGTAGGCAAGAAATTGAACAGAAAAACAAGAGAACAATTGTCACATTCATATTGCAGCATTACAAAAAATTATTTTAACAACTAACTTGGCTCTCCTTGAAAGTGGGCTGCACTTCAGAGAGTAAAGCCACAGTCAGAACTACGATGGAAAAGTTAGCTATTGAGATTGTGATAAATTACATGTACACGCATATCAGATTATGTAGGAGTTATAATTTCAACAATTGGTTTTTCAATCAACCATTATAACCCCACACAGATTAGAGAAGTAAATTCCTTTGATAAACAGAAGACTGTTATAGTTGCAAAAATAGCATCAAACACATGAACTTTTCAGACCGGCTACTTTTTGTAAATACAAAATTCATAATCAAAACCATGCAAGCACGAAAATATATTTAACAAAGATAGAAGATAAAGCAAACCAGTAAGCTTTAATCTCACAAGTCTTATATGAAATGTCAGTCTGCGCTCGTCTAAGAACATAGTTGAAGAGTTAGCATGTAATTTGGCAAGCACGCCCATTAAGTTTTACAATATATGAGTTCAGTACTATTTTCCAGGATAATTAACAGATTATAATCCAATACTAAGAACTTCAAAATCTTTGATTCAGTTTCCGTTCTATAATATTTGCACTTGAAATAGAAAAAAGAAAATAAAGAACTGATTTTGAGAGCCTGCAATCATCTTCTTGTATTCTCTTATTTATAGGAGATAAAAATACAGATTCAGAGATCCAATTAATAGAGAGACATGATTAATCCTAGAGAAGATAAACAAATGCATTCTAGGAACTATGTCTACAACTAATCTCATAAATGTCCAACAAGATACACTTAATCTAATAAATACTTCAACACTCCCCCTCAAGCTGGAGCATACAAATTGAATGTACCAAGCTTGGAACAAATGAATTCTATTCGAGGTCCTCTCAAAGATTTTGTTAATGCATCTGCAAGCTGCTCATTGGAACCAACAAACTCAGTACAAATTTCTTTAGTCAACAACTTATCCCGAATAAAATGACAGTCAATCTCAATATGCTTAGTCCTCTCATGAAATACTGGGTTGGAAGCAATGTGAAGAGTAGCTTGATTATCACAATACATCTTCATAGATTGAATCTCACAGAAGTTCAATTCTTGCAAGAATTGTTTTACCCAAACAAGTTCACAAGTAAGAGACGTCATTGCCCTATATTCAGCTTTAGCAGAGGATCGGGCAACAACGTTTTGCTTTTTGCTTTTCCATGAAATGATATTTCCTCCAATGAAAACACAATAGCCTGTAGTGGAACGCCTATCCATAGGAGATCCAGCCCAGTTAGCATCACAGTACCCAAAAATTTGGATATTTCCCTTATCTTCATATAATAATCCTTGTCCTGAAGCTTTTTTAATGTATCTTAAGATTCGAATGATAGCATTCCAATGATCCACACAAGGAGCTTGCATAAATTGGCTGACAACACCAACTGCAAAAGACAAATCAGGTCTAGTAATCGTCAAATAAATAAGTTTCCCAACCAGTCTTCTATATCTTTCTGGGTCAGAGAAAACTTCACCCTGTCCTGCCATTAACTTCAAATTTGGATCCATAGGACTGTCCACAGGTTTGCAATCAATCATACCTGTCTCTTTTAGAATATCTAGAGCATACTTCCTTTGAGAGATGACAATACCTTCTCTTGATTGAGCTACTTCAATACCCAAGAAATATTTTAGATTTCCAAGATCCTTGGTCTCGAAAATGACTACACAAGTGCTCTTTTAGCTCGAGATATTTTAGCAACATCATTCCCTGTGATGACAATATCATCAACGTACACAATTAAATAAACATGTTTGCCAGGGGCAGTGTGACAATAAAACACTGAATGATCTCGCCTCATTGCGTTTTAATCCAAAAGCTTGAACAATAGAGCTGAATTTTCCAAACCAAGCACGTGGAGATTGTTTTAGGCCATAGAGGGATCGACGTAATTTACAAACCAAACCAGACTCCCCCTGAGCAACAAATTCAGGAGGTTGCTCCATGTAAACTTCTTCTAAGTGACCGTGCAAAAAAGCATTTTTAATATCCAATTGATGAAGAGGCCAATGACGAATGGCGGCCATGGCAAGGAACAGGCGGACAGTGGTCATTTTGGCTACTGGAGAAAAAGTATCACAATAATCAAGTCCATATATCTGAGAATACCCTTTAGCCACTAACCTTGCTTTAAGATGATCAACCTGACCATTGGGCCCAACTTTAATAGCATAGATCCAACGACAACCAACTGTTTTCTTTCCGAAGGGAGAAGAACAAGCTCCCATGTTTCTGTCGTGATCAAGAGCCTGCATTTCGAAATCATGGCTTGTCGCCATCCAGGATGATCAAGCGCTTCGATCACATTTTTGGGAATTGTAATAGAGGAGACAGAGGAAATAAAAGAACAATAGGAAGGAGACAATCTATGATAACTAAGAAAATTGTAAATGGGATGAGGATTACGAGTAGAACGAGTACCTTTGCGAATGACAATGGGCCAACTGGAGTCATCGTTATCAGGAGCCATGGTATTAGAGGATGATGGTGAAGGACCTGTTATGAATGGCTCATCTTGGGGAATGGGATTGTTCACCTGGTTCCTGCGTTGATAGGTGATGATAGGCTGTGATGCTGATTCTAGAGTATTTTGGTTGGGATTTGGGGTGTCAGGAATAGGAGGTACAACTGATTCAACTAAGGGAACAGGAAACACATTTTGGACAGAATCAATATCCTGCATAGAATAAGGGAAGAAGGATGATGATTCAAAAAAGGTGACATTAGCAGACATGTAGTACCTCTTGGTTTCAGGAGAATAACACCGATATCCTTTTTGAAGATGAGAATACCCCAAGAAGACACATTTGATAGCTCTAGGTAAGAGTTTATCTAAGCCAGGAGACATGTCATGAACAAAACATATACATCCAAATACCCTAGGAGAAACATGAAAAATTGGTTCCTTTGGAAATAGAATAGAGTGTGGAACTTTATTATCAAGAGAAGAAGATGGCATTCTATTAATAAGAAAGCATGCAGTTAGAATAGCATCTCCCCAATGATGAATAGGCATATTGGCACCCAGCAATAAGGTATGAGCAGTTTCAACCAAATGTCTATTTTTTCATTCTGCTATACCATTTTGCTGTGGTGTGTGAGGACACGTGGACTGGTGTAAAATGCCTTGAGAATTTAGGACATTAGAAAAGTACTCTTTGACATTATCACTTCGTAAAACTTTGATTACTTTTTCAAATTGAGTTTTGATTTCATTAAGGAAAGACTTAAAGATAGGCAATAGTTCAGAACGATCTTTCATAAGATAAACCCAAGTACATCTAGAAAACCCATCTATAAAAGTAACAAAATATCTAAAACCAAAAGATGAAACACGACTAGGTCCCCATATATCTAAATGAACAATACTAAAAGCAAAATCACATCTAGATTCAGAATGATTTGGAAAGGATGACCTGGTATGTTTCCCTAGTTGACAGGATTCACATTCAAGAGTTTGAAGGTTCTGAAGTTCAGGAACCATTTTTTTCAATTTTGCTAAATGAGGATGCCCTAATCGCTCATGTAACAGTTTTGGGGATAAGGACGCAACACAAGATACAGATGACTTAGTCCTAAGGTAGTATAAGCCTCCAGATTCACGTCCTTCTCCAATCAGTCGACCCGTACCACGTTCCTGGATAACAAAACAATTGGCATTAAAGGTTACTAAGCAATTCAATGATTTGGTTAATTGGCTTACAGAAACAAGACTGAATGGAAAAGAAGGAACACAAAGAACATTTTGAAGGTTTAAAGAAGAAGAGATGGATACTTGACCAATTCCTTTAGAGGCTACTTTAGATCCATTAGCTAAAGATATGAGATGGGATGTTTTAGGAAATGAAAGAGAGGAAAATAAAGAGGTATTACCAGACATGTGGTCAGAAGCACCTGAGTCAATAATCCATGGATTTTGACTTTCCACAGATTGCGAAATGCAAGCGGTTGACGAATTTGGTGTTGTAGATGCTTGAGCCAAATTGGTTGATTTCATCCTTAAATATTCTTGATACTCTTCATGAGAGAACTTGGGCTCATCAACTTCAGATTTTGAGGTATTAGCTGCCTTATCAGGAAAGCCGTGAAGAGCAAAACAATTTTCCTTAGTATGTCCCATTCTTTTGCAATGAGAGCACTGAGGACGTCCTTTCCCACCACGTCCTCTAGAGCTGTGATTACCTCTTCCACGAGCAGAAATCATGGCGGAAGAATCAGCAAGTTCCTGACTGTTTTTGCTTTTGATAGAAGGAACACAAAGTAGCCTTGTGATTAAACTCTCCGTAGAAGGAACTTCTTCTCCAGTTAGAATCTGGTCTCTAACATGATTAAACTCTGGATTCATAGCCCTAAGAATCATTACCATATAGAATTTATCCAGCTTCGTCTTCCTTTCTTCTAATGATTCTGCCTCCAGGAACATTTTTAATTCTTCAACAGCTGACTGAGCTTCAGCAACAAAGGACATCATGGAATTATCCTCTTGCTTAAGGGAGGCTAGTCTATTAGCAGAATCATAAAGTCGTTGAATATCGTTAGCAAAGATATTTTGAGCCTTTTTCCAAAAAGAATTACATGTCTTGAAGGCTCGAAGAGTGCTCAAAATATGTGGTTCAACAGATTGCCATAATAGTGCACAAAGTTGATAATCCAGTTTCTTCCATTGAGGAGCCTGATCTGCTGGTATAGTACTTGCATCTTCTTCTAGATGATCATGAACTCCTTGACCTAGAAACCAGAGCTCAACAGAGGAAGCCCAAGACAAATAATTTTTTCCATTTAATTTTTCTGTGGTTATAGTCGGAGTCCCGAAAAAGATACGGACACGAGTCCCGACATTTTACAGGAAACACGAAAAGACCGGCGTGCTTGTCGGAGAGAGGACCGAGAGAGGCAGAGAGAAAACGCAAATCCACCACGTTTTGTGACCGAGAACACAAAACAAAGTGCAGATCTGGCACCAGGGCGACGAGGCGAGCCGAATAGAGGTGGCCTGGAGCAAAATAGCCACCGAGAGGGTGGCGCGTGAGGCCCACGCGCGGAGGAAGCCACGGACGAGGGTGGCGCGTGAGGCAGAGATAGAGGAAGCGAACACTGGGGTTGGGTCACGCTCCTCGAGGCGAGTCAAACCCAAGTGTCAGAGAGGAAAAAGGTGCCGGAGAAGACAGCACCGGCGGCGGACGGCGGTGAACGACGATTAATGCCAGAAAAAAAAACAGAGACAGGCAGAGCGGGATGAACCCGCTCTGATACCAACTTAAAATAGAAAAAAGAAAATAAAGAACTGATTTTGAGAGTCTGCAATCATCTTCTTGTGTTCTCTTATTTATAGGAGATAAAAATACAGATTCAGAGATACAATTAATAGAGAGACATGATTAATCCTAGAGAAG